CTCCTCTCGATTCTGCTGAACTGTTCAAGTAGACGATTCTGAATTTTCAATTCTCCTGATATCTAAATACTCCGTTCTGCCAAATTTTTCAAGCAGACAATTCTGAATTCTCAATTCTGTTGAATTCTGCTGATCTCTCCTTAAAATCTCAATTCTGTTCAACTTTTCAAGCAGGCAATGTTCCTTATGTTCCTCGCTAGCCAAAAAAAACTTCTCTAGCCTTGCTTGAGTAGAAAAACAGAAGGCATCAAGTAAATCAAACCAACTTCTACATTTTTCTCATCGGTTTCCGGGCCAAAGTTGTTACTCATTGCCAGCCTCCAGAAATATGATTGCATTTCAAGCCCAGGTTCCTTCCGGTTCCTTCCTATGCAGTATTGCAAGTTATTTCGGTTCAGTTCCACCTTGCTTACCCCATTATATTCAAGGCCTCCCCACCAAGGAAATACAACGTGGTCCTTGCACATTCCCAATGCGAGGTCCTTCCCGTATTTGTGAGAGACTCCCCAGCAGAACCCTTCAACTCCTGGAGAAGAAATTCCTGGAATAACATCCCCCAAGTGACTAAAATAAATTACTTAGTCTTAGACTAACTTTATTGTCACTTTGAATGTACACTACCCGGCATACATTAAAATGAAATTTCGTTGCATGCAGTTCTCAAAGGGTCAAAGTAAATAGAATAGAATAGAATAGAATAGAATAGAATAGAATAGAATAGAATAGAATAGAATATTTAGAAGAATGGAAAAATTAGAATATTAGAATAGAATAGAATGGAATGGAATGGAATGGAATGGAATGGAATGGAATAGAGTGGAATAGAGTGGAATAGAGTGGAATAGAAAATTAGAATATTAGAATAGAATAGAATAGAATAGAATAGAATATAATAGAATAGAATAGAATAGAATATTTAGAAGAATGGAAAAATTAGAATATTAGAATAGAATATTAGAATAGAATAGAATAGAATAGAATAGAATAGAATAGAATAGAATAGAATGGAATGGAATGGAATGGAATGGAATAGAATGGAATAGAAAATTAGAATATTAGAATAGAATAGAATAGAATAGAATAGAATAGAATAGAATAGAAATAGAATAGAATAGAATAGAATATTTAGAAGAATGGAAAAATTAGAATATTAGAATAGAATATTAGAATAGAATAATATATAGAATAGAATAGAATAGAATAGAATAGAATAGAATAGAATAGAATAGAATAGAATAGAATATTTAGAAGAATGGAAAATTAGAATATTAGAATAGAATAGAATAGAATAGAATAGAATAGAATAGAATAAAAAAATAGAATAGAATAGAATAGAATAGAATAGAATAGAATATTTAGAGAATGGAAAATTAGAATATTAGAATAGAATAGAATGGAATGGAATGGAATAGAGTGGAATAGAAAATTAGAATATTAGAATAGAATAGAATGGAATGGAATGGAATGGAATGGAATAGAATGGAATAGAAAATTAGAAGAATAGAATAGAATAGAATAGAATAGAATAGAATAGAATAGAATAGAATAGAATAGAATAGAATAGAATATTTAGAAGAATGGAAAAATTAGAATATTAGAATAGAATATTAGAATAGAATAATATATAGAATAGAATAGAATAGAATAGAATAGAATATTTAGAAGAATGGAAAATTAGAATATTAGAATAGAATAGAATAGAATAGAATAGAATAGAATATTTAGAAGAATGGAAAATTAGAATATTAGAATAGAATAGAATGGAATGGAATGGAATGGAATGGAATGGAATAGAATAGAATAGAATAGAATATTTAGAAGAATGGAAAAATTAGAATATTAGAATAGAATATTAGAATAGAATAGAATAGAATAGAATAGAATAGAATATTTAGAAGAATGGAAAAATTAGAATATTAGAATAGAATAGAATGGAATGGAATGGAATGGAATGGAATAGAATGGAATAGAAAATTAGAATATTAGAATAGAATAGAATAGAATAGAATATTTAGAAGAATGGAAAAATTAGAATATTAGAATAGAATATTAGAATAGAATAATATTATAGAATAGAATAGAATAGAATAGAATAGAATAGAATAGAATAGAATATTTAGAAGAATGGAAAATTAGAATATTAGAATAGAATAGAATAGAATAGAATAGAATAGAATAGAATAGAATAGAATATTTAGAAGAATGGAAAATTAGAATATTAGAATAGAATAGAATAGAATAGAATAGAATAGAATAGAATAGAATAGAATAGAATATTTAGAAGAATGGAAAATTAGAAAATTAGAATAGAATAGAATAGAATAGAATAGAATAGAATAGAAATAGAATATTTAGAAGAATGGAAAATTAGAATATTAGAATAGAATACAATTTTTATTTATTTATTTATTATCAAATTTATATACCGCCCTTCTCCTGAAGGACTCAGGGCGGTGTACAGCCAAAGTAAAAAACATAGATACAAACATTAAAATACAGTTAAAAAGATATATATGCGCTTGGCCCCATAATTAAAAGAACAATAACAAACCTATTAAAAACATTTTTTTTAAAAAAGTGTTAAGCCAGCCCGGCTTGCTGAAAAAGAAAAGTCTTCAGGGCACGGCGAAAGGCACCGAGGTCATGAATCCTTCGTATCTCTGGGGGCAGTTGATTCCAGAGGGCAGGTGCCCCCACAGAGAAGGCCGCACCCCTGGGGGCCACCAGTCTACATTGCTTGGCCGATGGCACCCCGAGGAGACCCTCTCTGTGGGAGCGCACCGGTCGGTGGGAGGTCATTGGTGGCAGCAACAGTAGAATAGAAAATTAGAATACAATAGAAGGATAGAATAGAATAGAATGGAATGGGTCACCGCCTCCAATATACACTACATAAACATGACAGAATAAATAAATAAATACAAAATTATGCACCTACCCACATATATTACATGACACAGAGAAAGAACCGTCTAGTCCAATTTCATTGTACACCTGTTGTGCATTGACAATAAAGGTTTGAATTGAAATTGATTTTTTTTTTCCCTCTACAGGTAGTCCTCAAGTTACGACCACGGCGGAGCCCCACATTTCTGTTGCTAAGTGAGACGGTTAGTAAGTGTGAAATAGTAGAAAAGTTACTCGGCGTTATTTTGTCCCATTTTTTTTACGGCCTACCTTGCCACCGTTGTTAAATGGGTCATTGCAGCTGTTCAGTTAGTTACATGGTTGTTAAGTGAATCTCCCCCCCCCCGTCGACTTGGCTGGTCAGAAGCTCGCAAAATAGGGGATCTCGTGACCCCGGGACACTGCGACCGTCATAAATATGAGTCAGTTGCCAGGCGTCCGAATTTTGATGCTGCTGGGGATGCTGCAACGGTCGTTAAGTGTGAAAAACGGTCATAAGTCACTTTTTTCCAATTCCGTTCTAACTTCGAACGGTCACTAAACGAGCTGTCGTAAGTCGAGGACTACCTGTATTTTCCATTTATAGAAATTTAAAGTTCTGGGTTTTTTTGAGGAGGGGGGAGGCAATCTTTTTATTTTATTTTTATTTATTTAAATTTCCTGACGGCCCAGCTCACCACTGGGTCCCTCTGGGCGGCTCACAATATTAAAAAGATAAACCTATAACAAATAAAATACTACAAAGATACAATACACTATTATCGTAACACTGTTCTAGGAAGGAGCCATTACGATGGCTCTTGCATTTAGTCCCCAAGGCAGGCCCTGAACCTGTTTATTGGTGGTCCTTGACTTACAACCATTTGTTTTGCGACCGTTCGGAGTTAACAACGGCACTGAAAAATACTGTTTCTACACGTACGACCGTTGCAGAATCCCCGTGATCAAAATTGAGACACTGTTCTGCCCCAGCTACCGACCCCAAAGAACGCAGCACACACAAAGTCTGTACAAACCTTAGCTTACTAAATTAAATCAGTCTTTTTTTCAAACAAAGGCTGTTAATTAACTTTCTTAACAGCCTACAAGAATCCAAAGAATAAATAACCGTAATCTTACTGTGGTTGGCAGAAAGCCCAGAAGCAATTTGCAGGAAACTGATAAGAGAACTAAGATCAAGACGCGAAGGAGAGTGAACGAAGTTGTTCCCTGCAAATTGCCTCAGTCGTCGTCCTTCCTTAAATAGGCTAAGGGAGTGGCCAATTAGCCCCAAGCCTTACTCTCGAGGAGACCTCCTCCTGAGGAACCACTCCTGCCTTTTGGCAGCTCTGCGCGCCCATGCATCGAGAAGAGGCTCCTCCTCTTCGTCCTCTTCACCCATGGAAGCTTCTGGAGGTTCTGAAGGCCCTGGCTGAATCCCCGCCTCTGGCACCACATCTTCTCCAGCCTCCTCACTGTCCGACTCGAGCGCCAGCTGCACAGGCTGCTGGCGCAGCACCAAACCAGCCTCCTTGCTGTCGGAATCAGCTACTAGCAGCACAGGCCACTGACGGGCCACAATAGACGAGTGGCAACCGGCTCCTATTTATGACGCCTGCAGTGTCCCAGGGTCATGTGATCCAGTGGTGGGTTGCCTCCGGTTCAGTCCGGTTCTTGCGAACCGGTAGTAAAACTGGGGGGGGAAGCTCCGCCCACCCACCTGGATGTCATCATAGACGATCTGCGCATGCGTGCGATCCCGTCTCGAACCAGTAGTAAAGGTAAGTAGAACCCACCCCTGACGTGAATCCCTTTTGCGGGGAAGCCAGATTCACTTAACAACCACTTAACTGCAGTGATTCACTTAACAACGGCGGCAAGAATGGCTGTAAAAATGGGGCGAAACTCACTTAACAACTGTCTGGCTTAGCAGTGAAAATTGTGGGGCTCCCCCTTGTGGTTGTAAGTCGAGGACTAACTATGTTCCGTCGATAATCTTCTTTTTAAATGGTGAATATGTATTCTGAAGAAAGGCTGCCCCAGGTTTTAAAGGTATCTTCAGAACAAGAGGAGGGAGATGGTAAAATATTGGTTTCTCTTTTCCGTCTTCCTAGGCTGAGGTTCGTCTTTGGGACGTCTGTCGTCCCAGCTCTGGATTTGGTGGATCGTCAGTCGGTCACACGGTTCGTGTCTCCAAGCGGGAGGGCAGTATATCAGGTACGGCTCCTTCCTCTACCTGCCAACATACCTGTGCACGTCCTTTGAGCCCAATAACGGAAGAGCAGAAAGTCAGAATAGAATTAGAATTAGAATTAGAATTACCGTGTTTCCCCAAAAATAAGAAATAAGAGCCGTGGTGGCGCAGCAGACTAAAATGCTGTTAAGTAGCACCAGCTGCCTGCAATTACTGCGAGTTCGAATTTCACCAGGCTCAAGGTTGACTCAGTCTTCCATCCTTCCGAGGTAGGTAAAATGAGGACCCGGTTTGTGGGGGCAATAAGTTGACTTTGTATAAAAAAGAACACCGCTTTGGGGTGGGGGGGGCGAAAGCCCTACTAAGCAGGTATATACAAAAGTATGAAGGCTATTGCTTAACGCATTGTAAGCCGCCCTGAGTCTCTGGAGAAGGGCGGCATATAAATCGAACCAATTAAAAAATAAATAAATAAAAATAAGACCCTGTCTTATATTTTTTTTGAACCCTGAAATAAGTGCTTGGCCTTATTGCCATGCGTTCAAAAGCCCGATTGGGCTTATTATCAGGGGGTGTCTTATTTTGGGGGAAACAGGGTAGAATTAGAATAGAATTAGAATTTGGAAATAATAGAATAGAAAGTAGAAAATAGAATAGAACAGAATTTGAAAATGATGGAATAGAATAGAACAATAGAATAGAAAATAGAAAATAAAACAAGAGATTAGATTAGATTAGATTAGATTAGATTAGATTAGATTAGATTAGATTAGATTAGATGGGACCTTGGGGATCTTCAAATCCAACCCCCAACGATGGAAAGTGCAACCGTCATAAGTACATGCCAGTTGCCAAGCCTCTGAATTTCGATCACGGGGGCGCTGCAACGGTCGTAAGTGTGAAAAACTGCCCTAAGTCGTTTTTTTTTCCGGTGTCGTCGTAACCTCGAACCATCCTTAAACAAATGGCCATAAGTTGAGGACTCCTGTAGCCAGCATCCGAAACCTAACCTCGTTGGTTCAATGGAAGGAACCAAAGAGTGGGGACTCCCCAAATCCGTTCCCCAGCCTCGGGGTGTGTGTGTGCGCCGTGTTCCTCTTTCGAACTCGGCACTCTCCCTCCTCCCTTCCGACACCTCCCCGCCTTCCTCGTCCACGGCTGGCTGCTTTGCTTCCGTCCATTTATCTCCGTTATTCTATTTGGGATTTCGAGGTGATTTTCATCTTAATTACCCCCTCGTTCATATGGCAGCCCGCCCTGTAGGGTGGGAGTAAATGGATTAAACCTGCCAGGCTGAAAAAATGAGTTGTCGATCACAAAGAGGAGGGGGGGGAGCAAGAGAGACGGGTTCGTTTCACGGCGGACGAAAAACACGAGGACCGTATTGTGTCCCATGTGCCCAGGGAACTAAAATTCTCTCCCCAACTCTGCTTGAGAAGGGGAGCGCTGGATTATAAGGGGCTGCTGGGGGGGTGCTGGGCCAGTTTTCCTGCACCGATACCCCCCCTCTTTTTGGGGGGGATTCTCCTGTCTCCCCAGAGCAGTGTTTTCAACCTTAAGAGGGGTGGACTTCCACTCCCAGAATCCCCCAGCCAGACTTCCACTCCCAGAATTCCCCAGCCATCATAGGTTGAAGTCCATCTCTCTTAAAGCATGCAGGCTGGGGGATTCTGGGAGTGGAAGTCCACCCCTCTTAAAGGATGCTGGCTGGGGGATTCTGGGAGGGGAAGCCTGGCTGGGGGATTCTGGGAGAGAATGTCCACCCATCTTAAAGCATGCCAGCTGGGGGATTCTGGGAGTGGAAGTCTGGCTGGGGGATTCTGGGAGAGGATGTCCACCCATCTTAAAGCATGCCAGCTGGGGGATTCTGGGAGTGGAAGTCCACCCATCTTAAAGCATGCCAGCTGGGGGATTCTGGGAGTGGAAGTCTGGCTGGGGGATTCTGGGAGTGGAAGTCCACCCATCTTAAAGCATGCCAGCTGGGGATTCTGGAGTGGAAGTCTGGCTGGGGGATTCTGGGAGTGGAAGTCCACCCATCTTAAAGCATGCTGGCTGGGGGATTCTGGGAGTGGAAGTCTGGCTGGGGGATTCTGGAGTGGAAGTCCACCCACCTTAAAGCATGCTGGCTGGGGGATTCTGGAGTGGAAGTCTGGCTGGGGGATTCTGGGAGTGGAAGTCCACCCATCTTAAAGCATGCCAGCTGGGGGATTCTGGGAGTGGAAGTCCACCCATCTTAAAGCATGCTGGCTGGGGGATTCTGGGAGTGGAAGTCTGGCTGGGGGATTCTGGGAGTGGAAGTCTGGCTGGGGGATTCTGGGAGTGGAAGTCCACCCATCTTAAAGCATGCTGGCTGGGGGATTCTGGGAGTGGAAGTCTGGCTGGGGGATTCTGGGAGTGGAAGTCCACCCATCTTAAAGCATGCCAGCTGGGGGATTCTGGGAGTGGAAGTCCACCCATCTTAAAGCATGATGGCTGGGGGATTCTGGGAGTGGAAGTCTGGCTGGGGAATTCTGGGAGTGGAAGTCCACCCATCTTAAAGCATGCTGGCTGGGGGATTCTGGGAGTGGAAGTCTGGCTGGGGGATTCTGGGAGTGGAAGTCCACCCACCTTAAAGCATGCTGGCTGGGGGATTCTGGGAGTGGAAGTCTGGCTGGGGGATTCTGGAGTGGAAGTCTGGCTGGGGGATTCTGGGAGTGGAAACCCAGCCATCTTAAAGCATGCTGGCTGGGGGATTCTGGGAGTGGAAGTCTGGCTGGGGAATTCTGGAGTGGAAGTCCACCCATCTTAAAGCATGATGGCTGGGGGATTCTGGGAGTGGAAGTCTGGCTGGGGAATTCTGGGAGTGGAAGTCCACCCGTCTTAAAGCATGATGGCTGGGGAATTCTGGGAGTGGAAGTCTGGCTGGGGAATTCTGGGAGTGGAATGCTGGCTGGGGGATTCTGGGAGGGGAAGCCCACCCCTCTTAAAGGATGCTGGCTGGGGGATTCTGGGAACTGAAGCCCACTCCTCTTAAAGCATTTAGGCTGGGCAATTCCCAGGTTTGAAGTCCACCCGTCATAAATTCCCCAAAGTTGAGAAAGACCACTCCAGAGATAAGAGAATAAGATTTACACAATCCCAGCAAAGGTGAGCCTTTCTTCCCAGGTAATTCCAGCTTCCAAAACAACTGACGAAATCGTCTACTTCGCGTCTGTTATCTTGGTTATTGGAAATTCCTTTCTAAAAACGAAGCCTCCGTGGCCGCAGAGATAGGGCTCCGTTTTCCATGTGCCTATTTCGGACATCTTGATTCCTGTCCCCCCCACCCTCGTATAAGGTAGCACCCAGAGGTCGATTTCACACCCGTTTACAACCAGTTCGCCGTACGGCTTAGAAAATGTGGCTAAAAAGGACGGCATATCACCGTGGCCACGACCGGTTCGTGCAAACTGGGCTGAATGCCACCCTATGCAAGAGTGGGGGATAGGATCGCTGTCCATTGGCTGGGGTCTTGTTTGTTTGTTTGTTTGTTTATTGATTTGCATCCCACCTTATTTTTTTTGTACAAATAACACAAGGCAAGGAATATATCCTTCTTCCTCCTAGTTCCCCCACCACCACAACAACAACCCTGTGAGGTAGGTTAGGCTGAGAGAGAAGGACTGGACTAAATTTATACCAAGCCAGGTTGCGTGCCTAAGGAGGACTAGAGCTCACAAGTCTCCTAGTGATTGGCCTAAAAACACCCAGCCGGCTTTCATGGTTAAGGTGGGATTAGAACTCCCTGTCGCCTGGTGATTGGTCCAAACTCACCCATCTGGCTTTCATAGTTAAGGTGGGACTAGAACTCCTTGTCGCCTTGTGATTGGCCCGAAGTCACCGAAGTCATCTAGCCGGCTTTCATGGCTAAGGTGGGACTAGAACTCCCTGTCGCCTGGTGATTGGTCCAAACTCACCCACCTGGCTTTCATAGTTAAGGTGGGACTAGAACTCCTTGTCGCCTTGTGATTGGCCCAAAGTCACCGAAGTCACCAGCCGGCTTTCATGGCTAAGGTGGGACTAGAACTCCCTGTCGCCTGGTGATTGGTCCAAACTCACCCATCTGGCTTTCATAGTTAAGGTGGGACTAGAACTCCCTCTCACCTAATGATTGGTGCAGAGTCACCCAGCCGGCTTTCATGCCTAAGGTTAGACTAGAACTCAACGTTTCCTAGTGATTGACCCGAAGTCAGTCAGCCGGCTTTCATGGCTAAGGTGGGACTAGAACTCCCTGTCGCCTGGTGATTGGCCCAACGAAGTCACCCAGCCGACTTTCATAGTTAAGGTGGGACTAGAACTCCCTGTCGCCTTGTGATTGGCCCAAAGTCACCCAGGCAGCTTTCATGCCTAAGGCCGAACTAGAACTCACGTCTCCTGGTTTCTAGCCTTAAGCACTAGATCCATGTTGGCGAACCTACAGAACGCGTACCGGAAGCGGCACGCAGAACCATCCCGTGAGGGATGCGCAGCCTCGCTGGCTCCTCGTCCGTATTCCTGTGCACACACGCGTGCCGGTCAGCAGGCCTTCGCGCAAGCGGGATCCACAAAACCTGGAAGAGCAGTTTTCCGTCACTCATGCGCAAGCCAGCACCCAAACCTCCGGGTTTATGTCACGTGCATGCGTGACGGCCAACTGTTGGTCACGCGTCTGTGCCGGAAACCAGACGTTCGAGTACCAGCTCGCACATGCATGACGGAACGCTGCTCTTCTGGGTTTTGGCACTCCCGAAGGCCAGAGAGACCGCGTGGTCCAGGCGGGATGGTTTGGCACGCGCGCCAGCATGCGGTGACATATAAGGTTAGCCATCACTGCACTAGATCATTCTGGGTGTTGTTTCCACCAGGGGTGGGTTCTACTTACCTTTACTACCGGTTCGCAGTGGGGCCGCGTGCAGTGGTGGGATTCAGCCGGTTCGCACCACTTCGGGAGAACCGGTTGTTAACTTTCTGAGCAGTTTGGCAAACTGGTTGTTGGAAGAAATCATTAGGGCAGAGAACCGGTTGTTAAATTACTTGAATCCCACCACTGGCCGTGCGCATGCGCAGAAGCGTTTTGATGACGTCGGGGTCGGTGGGCGGAGCCTCCCGCCGGTTTTACTACCCGTTCTATAGAACCGGTGCGAACCGGGGGCAACCTAACACTGGTTTCCACCATTACCGCCTGAAGTTGTTTGTGTGAAAATACCTCCGGTGCGCCCATGCGCCTAGCTAGCTTTGTGGCTGTTGGGGCTGTGAATCGGTTGCGGCCCCACCCTTAATTTTTTCTCCATCCGTGAATATCCCTTCATCTGACCAGCCCTCGGCTTGTAATTACGCTCCTGTCCTTCCCTTCCCCTCCCTTCCCCTCCCCTCTTTCCTTTCACAGCGGCCAGTCGGATTATCGTGAATCATCAGCCTTTTAAGTCCCCGAAAAAGGGACTAATTCAAATTGCATTTCCCACTAAATATAATATATTTCTTCCAAAGATTGCCTCCGTTAACAGCCCTGATCGGATCATTCCATCCGGTTGATTTAAGAGCCGAATGTCGGTTTGTCCACTCCGAAGGGATCCTGGTTTTCTTTTAAGTTATTTAGTTTTTCAAGGGGTAGGGTACCGTCTCACGCACTGCCCCAGGATGATGGGAGTTGTAGTCTAACACCTTGGGAGGCCACTAGTCCATCCGGGGCGGTGGCTCTCCCTTGCCTGGGCTCCTAAGGATGATGGGCATTGTAGTCTACCACTACAATCCGCCAATTGGCCTCCAACCCTAAGTTACACCTCTCCTCTGACCTGGGGATGATGGGAGTTGTAGTCTATCATCTTTGGAGGCTACAGCCGCCTTGGGGCTGCACCTCTCCCCACCTGCCCTCCTGGGGATGATGGGAGTTGTAGTCTAACTCCTTTAGGGTGGTGTCTCCCCACAACTGATGTCCTGAGGGCGATGGGAGTTGTAGTCTAACACCTTGGGAGGCCACTAGTCCATCCGAGGGCGGTGGCTCTCCCTTGCTGGGCTCCTAAGGATGATGGGCATTGTAGTCTACCACTACAATCCGCCAATTGGCCTCCAACCCTAAGTTACACCTCTCCTTCTCTGACCTGGGGATGATGGGAGTTGTAGTCTATCATCTTTGGAGGCTACAGATCCGCCTTGGGGCTGCACCTCTCCCCACCTGCCCTCCTGGGGATGATGGGAGTTGTAGTCTAACTCCTTTAGGGTGGTGTCTCCCCCACAACTGATGTCCTGAGGGTGATGGGAGTTGTAGTCTAACACCTTGGGAGGCCACTAGTCCATCCGAGGGCGGTGGCTCTCCCTTGCCTGGGCTCCTAAGGACGATGGGCATTGTAGTCTACCACTACAATCCGCCATAGGGTTGGTGGCCTCCAACCCTAAGTTACACCTCTCCTTCTCTGACCTGGGGATGATGGGAGTTGTAGTCTATCATCTTTGGAGGCTACAGATCAACCTTGGGGCTGCACCTCTCTCCACCCTGCCCTCCTGGGGATGATGGGAGTTGTAGTCTAACTCCTTTAGGGCGGTCTCTCTCTCCCCCCCAACTGCTGTCCTGAGGGTGATGGGAGTTGTAGTCTAACTCCTTTGGAGGCCACCGATCCATCTTAGCGTCTCCCCACTGCCCTCCTGGGGATAATGGGAGTTGTAGTCTTGTTTGGAGGCCACCATCACCCTAGGGCAGCGTCTCCCCCACCTGCTTTTCTATGGATGAGGGGAGTTGTAGTCTCCTTTGGAAGACCCCATCCTAGGGCAGCGTCTCCGCCACCTGCTCCTGGGGATGATGGGAGTTGTAGTCTTGTTTGGAGGCCACCATCATCCTAGGGCAGCGTCTCCCCACCTGCTCTTCTATGATGATGGGAGTTGTAGTCCCCTTTGGAAGACACCATCCTAGGGCAGCGTCTCCTGCCACCTGCTCCTGGGGATGATGGGAGTTGTAGTCTTGTTTGGAGGCCACCATCATCCTAGGGCAGCGTCTCCCCCACCTGCTCTTCTATGGATGATAGGAGTTGTAGTCTCCTTTGGAAGACCCCATCTAGGGCAGCGTCTCCTTGCCACCTGCTCCTGGGGATGATGGGAGTTGTAGTCTTAACACATTCGGATGCCACCAGATCGAGGGGAGTCTAGGTAGGCAACCTGTGTGCAGTTTACAACACAAATCTGGTTACTGTGCCGAGAGGCGCATTTTCCACTTGGATTGAACTGATTTAATTTTTTAAAAAAATTAATTTTAATGTTTCCTTTTTTAAAAAAATGATCCATTTTCTCTCTCCCCCGCCCCGTCCCCAGGTGGTGGGCAGCTCGGGAAAACTCTACACTTGCTACGCCTCCTGTCACTTCTGCAACTGTCCAGCTTTTGCCTTCTCCGTCTTGCGGAAAGGAGACAACGTCGTGGTGAGTGGGCAGGAAAGGGAGGGGCAGGGCAGGGCAGAGCCCGTGGGGGGTGGGGGGTCTCTGTCTCGGGAGCAAGCTGGCTTGTTAGATGGGTGGGGTGGGGGGAAGAGGGCACATGCTAGATGTTGTCCGATGACTCACTCTTTCCATTGTGTGTCTTTCGCTTAAGTTTGTGCAAGGGAGGAAACAGTTGTGTGTTGAAAGAAGGTGACGTGGGTACAGCAGGGTGAGCGAAACGGGGGGTGGGTGGGTGGGGTGGTCTGGTTACCTGCGAGCAGAGCTTTTTCTCATGTCCCAGGGACGATTCACATCCTGGTCAGCCTTTTATTTCTTTATTCTCCTTCCATCGGGAAGGAGATACAGAAGCGTAGGCAACTGCACAAATAGGCCGAGAAGGACAGTTTTGATCCGTGGGCTGTCAGGCTCCCGGTGCAATAGGATCGGGTGATTGTTAGCAAGATTTACTAGGATAGGGATATTTGTGGGGGGGATCTATTTCACTGTGAGTTGTGTTGACAGGGGGTGCACGATGAGAGTCTCAGCCAATCTCATAGTACACAGGTTGTACTCTGACAATAAAGGCTTGGATTGAATTGAATTGAATTGAATTGAATTGAATTGAATTGAATTTCAATTCAGATTAGAGCTGAATGGGACTTGGAGGTCTTGTAGTCCAACCCCCTGTTCAAGCAGGAGACCCCATGCCAGTGATGGCGAACCCCTTTTCGCGACCTTCTGAGCAGCGAAGTCCATGGGGAATAAGGATTCGCTTAACGACCTTGCTACTTTACCTTAACAACCGCAACAAAAGGTCGTGAAATGGAGCACAACTGGCTTAAACAACCTTTAACTTTGCTTAACGGTGGAAATTTGGGGCTCAGTTATGGCCGTTTAGTTGAGGACTAACCTGTATAAGAAATCCGATTTTGCTTACAGGGACGGGAAAGGGTTGTGTTCATCGCAGACGACCGAAGCTCCCGTGAAATTTCCTCTTAAAGACAATGGAAGTCTGGAGCTCATCCTGTGCATAGGAATCCGTGGGGAACTATAGGGCAGGCTCTCTCCGAGGGGTGTCAGGATGTAGCCCCTTGGAGGAAGAGATTCCCACGCTCCCTCCCAGCCTCTCCCCACCTCCCCCAGGGAAGGAAAATGAACAGGGTGGACAAGGCCTCTGTAGCTGCGGGAGAAGAACCCGCTGCTAGGACAGCTGTGGCCCTTTTATGACATTTAGACTTCAACTCCCAGAATTCCTGAGCTAGCATCGGGAACTGGCCCTTTATGACTTGCGGACTTCAACTCCCAGAATTCCTAAGGCAGCATGGGGAGCGACGGCCCTTTTTAAGACTTGTGGACTTCAAGTCCCAGAATTCCTGAGCCAGGATGTAGGACGATGGCCCTTTTATGACTTGTGGACTTCAACTCCCCAGAATTCCTGAGCCAGGATGTAGGACGATGGCCCTTTTATGACTTGTGGACTTCAATTCCCAGAATTCCTGAGCCAGGATGTAGGACGATGGCCCTTTTTAAGACTTGTGGACTTCAACTCTCCAGAATTCCTAAGGCAGCATGGGGAACGATGGCCCTATTAAGACTTATGGACTTCAATTCCCAGAATTCCTGGGCCAGCATGGGGTGCGATGGCACTTTTATGACATTTAGACTTCAACTCCCAGAATTCCTGATCTAGCATTGGGAACTGGCCCTTTAATGATTGCGGACTTCAACTCTCAGAATTCCTGAGCCAGCATGGGGAGCGATGGCCTTTTTAAGACTGTGAACTTCAACTCCCAGAATTCCTCAGCCAGGATGGGGGACGATGACCCTTTTATGACATTTAGACTTCAACTCCCAGAATTCCTGGGTCAGCATGGGAAACGGTGGCCCTTTTAAGACTTGTGGACTTCAAGAATTCCTGAGCCACATTGATCTAAATACATAAATGCCATTTGAATAGCTTATATTCTGTTAAAGAATAAACGTTAAATAATTTTTATTCTATTCTGTTATTCTGTTAAACGGTATATAGAGTTTTCTGCTCCAGCAGGAGGTTAGACTGGAAGACCTCTTCCAACTCTTATTATTCCGTTCAGCAAATTTTATTTACGGTAAATAAGTATTTTTTAAAAAATTGAAATTCAGTTTCAATTATTCGAATTTTATTTAAAATAAATTTGACTCCCGTAAAAAATTGGCTGGTTGCAAAAGAGGTTTGCTCATCTCCTAATTATTATTATTTTTTGCTGAACCGGCGATGCTCGTGGTCTTCTCCTGCGCCAAACCGGGCGACTTTTCCACACCCTGCCACTAACGTGGTTTCTCTCTTTTGTTGTATGTGTTTTTGTGTGTGTGTGTAGTGTAAGCACATCCTTGCCATCTATCTGAGCCGAGCGATCGGGGCTTGCCAGGAGCAAAGCATCTCCGACCAGCAACTGACTGCCTTGCTACTCCCCGAGGAAAAATGAGGACAGAAAAATAAGGCGAAAACATGAGCCGTAACCATGGGTGGCTAGAAGCGCTGAGCTGGGTGTGCGTCCTTTCGCTCTGCCCCGCCGAGTCCGGAGAGTCCTGCTCCTGTTTTCCGCTCAGAAATGACTGATGCCTGTCATTTGCGGGTCCCGTTGGGAACAATTTTATGCAGCTCTGGACTTTGTAAGCCAAAAGACAGGACGTCGCGTTCGGAAACGATTAACTCCAAAAGTGGATTGCAGCAAAACATCTTTAAAACATCTTTCCGCAAGCATTAAAAACGACACTGGTAAATTGGGAGGTCAGGTTTGATTTTGCCAAGTATTTTATTAAAAAAGGGAGGGAGGGAGGGAGAAAAGGAAAGGAAAGGAAAGGAAAGGAAAGGAAAGGAAAGGAAAGGAAAGGAAAGGAAAGGAAAAAAGGAAAGGAAAGGAAAGGAGGCGGAAGGGAAGGAAGGAAGGAACGAAGGAAGGAAGGGAAAGTAAGTAAGTAAGTAAGTAAGGAAGGAAGGAAGGAAGGAAGGAAGGAAGGAAAGTAAGAAGGAAGGAAGGAAGGGAAAGTAGGAAGGAAGGAAGGAAGGAAGGAAGGAAGGAAGGAAGGAAGGAAAAGTAAGAAGGAAGGAAGGACCGCTTAGAGAGGGCTGTAAAGCACTGTGAAGCAGTATATAAGTCTAAGTGCTATTGCTTGGGAAGAAAGGAAGGAAGGATGGAAAGAAACAAGAAAAGGGAGGGAGAAAAGGGATGTAGGGAGGGAGGAAGGAAGGAATGGAGAAGAAGAAAGGGAGGAAGGAAAGGGAGGGAGGAAGGAAGGAAGGATGGAAGGAAAGAAGAAAAGGGAGGGAGAAAAGGGATGTAGGGAGGAAGGAAGGAATGGAGAAGAAGAAGGAAGAAGAGGGAGGGAGGGAGGACAAAAGGAAGGAAGAGAAGGAAAGAAAAGAAAGAAAGAAAGAAACAATTGTTTAAATCTGGCTTCCCCTTTGCCAATTTAAACCAATAATTTAGTTCAGAATAAAACAAAAAAGACCCCCCCCCTTAAAACTCTCTCCTTTGCATTCACAATATTTTAATAATAATAAAAAAAAACACATCCGTTATGCCATTACTGGCCTACTTAAAAAGGATTTCCCATACGAGAATACCAGCAGCATCAAATAACTGATGACAAACTTAAATTAATCTTTAAAAAAAAAGCAAGAGTTGAGTGGATAAAGTTAACAGCTTCATACAAAACACCAAATTATCACGTGTATTAAAGTTCAGTTCCATTGCTCTCGTGGTTTTATTTTTGGAGCAAGGCAAGGCCCACAAGACATTTAACAGATGACACCCTCCCACCCACACAGGCAGACTAACACACCAAGAGCAGCATTGTTTCGGAAACCTGCCCTTCTAATGGAGGCAAAGATTAAAAGGAATTAAACGTAAATTAAATTCCCCATCACACAAAGGGCTCAGGCAGCAGGTAGAAGCCCTTTAATTGTACACCAGTATTTTCCAACCTCAGCGATATGAAATTGTGTGGACTTCAACTCCCAGAATCCCCCAGCCAGCATGGTTTAAGAGGGGTGGATTCCACTCCCAGAATCCCCCAGCCAGCATGCTTTAAGAGGGGTAGACTTCCACTCCCAGAATCCCCCAGCCAGCGCTTTAAGAGGGGTGGGCTTCCACTCCCAGAATTCCCAGCCAGCATGCTTTAAGAGGGGTAGACTTCCACTCCCAGAATCCCCCAGCCAGCATGGTTTAAGAGGGCTGGACTTCCACTCCCACAATTCCCCAGCCAGCATGGTTTAAGAGGGGTGGACTTCCACTCCCAGAATTCCCCAGCCAGCATGCTTTAAGAGGGGTGGACTTCCACTCCCAGAATCCCCCAGCCAGCATGGTTTAAGAGGGCTGGACTTCCACTCCCAGAATTCCCCAGCCAGCATGGTTTAAGAGGGGTGGACTTCCACTCCCAGAATCCCCAGCCAGCATGGTTTAAGAGGGCTGGACTTCCACTCCCAGAATCCCCCAGCCAGCATGGTTTAAGAAGGGTGGACTTCCACTCCCAGAATTCCCCAGCCAGCCTGCTTTAAGAAGGGTGGACTTCCACTCCCAGAATTCCCCAGCCTGCATGCTTTAAGAGGGGTGGACTTCCACTCCCAGAATCCCCCAAGCCAGCCTGCTTTAAGAAGGGGTGGACTTCCACTCCCAGAATCCCCCAGCCAGCCTGCTTTAAGATGAGTGGACTTCCATTCCCAGAATTCCCCAGACAGCATGTTTTAAGAGGGGTGGACTTCCACTCCCAGAATTCCCCTGCCAGTCTGCTTTAATATGGGTGGACTTCCAGAATTTCCCAGCTGGTATGTTTTAACATCAGTGGACTTCCACTCCCAGAATCCCCCAGTCAGCATGGATAGAAGTTCACCCCTCTTAAAGCCTGGGGAATTCTGGGAGCTGCAGTCCACACGGCATCCCATTGCTGAGGTCGAGGAATACTATTGTACTCAAAACAAAGCCGAGCACTTGCAGAGCCCTTCTTGTTCCAACACTCCTGCATATCGCAGGAAGTCACACAGATAGTCCTTGATTTACGACCAATCAAAATTACAACAAACCTCCTCAGGGTTACCAAAGACCCAGTTCCGAAGTCACAACGTCCGGTCCCCCAACATAGTCATTTTCGATGCTTGTCCACTGGCTCGCACTTACGGCCCTTTGCAGCGTCTCTCGGCGACACGACTGGTGTTACGACGTTTCTACCCAAACCCCAAAAATTTACTTCTGGTTTTTGGCAAAACCAGCCCTTAACGAACAATTGCTTCGCTGAATGACTGCTTCAAAAAAAAAAAGTCGTAAAAGCAGGCCGACCACGTGGGGTGTCCCGCTTTCTAACCGTCACAACTTACAACCGTAACGGACAGCCGTAAGCCGAGGACTACCTGATTGTGAGCCTCCTGGCAGCTTGTTTCCCATTGAACGGTGCGCTGTGCATCCTGCCACGATTAAGGGGACAGATAAAAGCCTTACTGGCTGTCCCGCTGACCTCAAACGTAGGTTGGCGATGTACTCAGGTTATTCACCGCCAGGTGACGGCTGCTCCCGCCACTGTTGCTCCCTTTGGGGTACTTGGGAAAATCCTCATCCTTGCACAGGACGTACCGCGAGAGGATCTTCCGGAAAGTGTACCGGAAATCCTGGATGCGATAGGCGTAAATAATGGGGTTGACCACCGAGTTGGTGTGGGAGAGGATGATGGTTAAATACATGATCCAGTCACGCTTGCTCTTCGCGAACGTGGGGTAGAAGAGAGTCAGGCAGTTGATGATGTGCAGCGGCAGCCAGCAGAGGGCGAAGAGGCCCACAATGATGGCTAGCGACTTGGCGGCGCTGACCTCCTTCTGCAGCGTCATCCGGCAGTTGCCCACCAGCTCGATCTGCCGCAGCTGTTTGCAGGCGACGGCGAAGATCTTGATGTAGATGCAAAGCATGATGAAGAGCGGCAGGAGGACGCAGCCGAAGAAGTTGAAGTAGACCATGTAGCTCATGGGCACCACGTTCTCGAAGAGGCAGGTCACCAGGCAGTTCCCGCTGGGGGTCCGTGTCTCATTGGTGCAGTTCTTCATCACTTCCATCCTGTTCCAACCCATCAGCGGCGTCAGGCCGATGATGAACGAGAGCAACCAGAGAACGGCGATGAGTCCGCGGGCTCGCTTCCCCGTCACCAGGCTCTTGTATCTACAAACAAAAAAAAAGGACAAGAAGGATAGGATCACAAAAAGGGGGACGAGGCTCACTTTTGTCCCTCGGGGTATGATGGTTGGGTACAAGCAGTCCCCGACTTACGACCACAATGAAGCCCAACATTTCTCTTGTTAAGGCAGACATTTGTTAAGGGAGTTTTGCTCCCACGTTACAACTTTTCTTGCGACAGTTGTGAAGTGAGTCACTGCTGTTGTTAAGTTAGTAACCCGGCTGTTAAGTGAACCCGGCTTCCCCATTGACTTTAATTGTCAGAAAGAATAATAGAATAAAATAGAATTTGAAAATCTATATATATATAAAAGCGAAATACCACTCACGCATCATCACAAAATCTCCAGAACCGTAAAGCCTACAAACTTGAAATTTGCCACGTATGTTCCTCTTGGCTTCTAGGTGCTCACTAAGAAAGGATTTTTCGAAATGACCATCACAGCATTAGTATTTCCTATATTATGATTAACACGCTCTGATGCTAAGGAGTTCTACTCCCCCTCCTCACCTGAAAAGAAATCTGTTCCAAATGCAAAACACAAGCAGAGGAGAGGAGTTTCAGTTTCAGTTTTACTTTCACAGCAGCAAGCAGCTTTACTACAGAACAGTTGACCTTAGCCACGGCCAGGCTCCTTCCTGTCTCCTTCTTGCTCACACAGCAAATACTGTTTCACTTTCCAAACAGCTCTCTGATGCTAAGGAGTTCTACTCCCCCTTCCCACCTGAAAAAAAAATCTGTTCCAAATGCAAAACACAAGCAGAGGAGAGGAGTTTCAGTTTTACTGTCACAGCAGCAAGCAGGGGATAGTATAGGGGAGGCTTCTGTGGGGCAAGCCTGAGAGAGAGAAGGGGATAGGAGAGGAGAGGCTTCTGTGGGGCACGTCTGAGGGAGAGAAGGGGATAGGATAGACGTTTCTGTGGGGCAAGATTGAGGGAGAGAAGGGGAGAGGAAAAGCAGATTGTAACTACTCATTAATTTTCAAGCTGTAAGTGTCGATTTATCAAGCCCCATCGCATAGTTTTGTAGGGGAGTACGGGTATTCAGCTAGGAATATCATCAGCATCTTTCAGTCTTAAGAGACTATGGCAGTGATGGCAAACCTATGGCACGTGTGCCATTGGTGGCACATGGAGCCATGTCGGTAGGCACGCGAGCTCAGCTCCGGCGCACATGCGCATGCCAGCCAGCTGATTTTCAGGCCTTCTGGGCCCACCGGAATTTGGGAAACAGGCTATTTCCAGCCTCTGGAGGGCCTCAAGGGGGGTGGGGAAGGCCTATTTTTCACTCTCTCCAGGCTCATAGAAAGGCTCTGGAGCCTGGGGAGAGCGAAAAACGGGGCTTCTGGTCCCACAGGAAGTTGGCAAATGGGCTGTTTCCGGCCTCCGGAGGGCCTCAGGGGGAGTGGGAAAGGCTCTTTTTGCCCTCCCCAGGCTCCTAGAAAGCCTCTGGAGCCTGAGGAGGGTGAAAAACAGGCCTACTGGGCCCACTGTGCCATTGTGTGCCAAAAGCAGGAGGGTGCAGGGGGGTTACACGCAAATGTGCGGAAGGTGGGGGGCATAGAATTATGGGTATGGGCACGCGCACGTGTGACTTCCCCCCGCTTTTGGCATGCGATGGCAAAAAGGTTAGCCGTCACTGGACTATGATATCGTGCTCTGGAAACAAATCCTAAAACAGCATCTGGTGTGACTAAAAAGGCCAATTCGAGAGTGGCCATCCCTTCCACACTGAGGGAATCCGTGAGGGAATCAGCTCCCAGATTTCGCTGGTTCCGGGACTCCCTCTTTGCCTGCCGGACAAGCGTCTCTTCGAATCGGAGAAGGCCACGCTGAGTCTTTAGCCTCCAAGCTGAACAATCAGAGGTCAAGGTTTCCCAGTCGTTAATGTCCATTCCCAGGGCCTTTAGGTCCCTCTTGCAGATATCTTTATACCGCAGCTGTGGTCTCCCTCTGAGGCGCTTTCTCTGCACTGATTCTCCGTCCAGGAGATCTTTCGGAATCTGACCGTCAGCCATTCTCATGACGTGCCCCAGCCAGCGTAGACGACGCTGTTTCAATAGTGTATACATGCTAGAACAGTGATGGCTAACCTTTTTGCTGTCGCGTGCCAAAAGTGGGGATCATGCAGGAGGGTCGCGCATGCGTGTGCCTATACCCATAATTCAATGCACCCCACCCCTCGCACATGCGTGCATGACCTCCCTGCGCTACCCCCACTTTTGGCACGCGGTGGGCCCAGTAGGCCCATTTTCTGCCCTCCCCAGGCTCCAGAAGCTTTCTTGGAGCCTGGGGAGGGTGAAAACGGCCTTCCGTCCCCCACCCAGGAGGCCCTCCGCAGGCCGGAAACAGCCCATTTCCTGACTTCAGGTGGGCCCAGAAGGCCCGAAAATTAGCTGGCCGGCATGCATATGCGCGCTGGAGCTGAGTAGGGCAATGCTCGCGTGCCCACAGATATGGCTCCGCGTGCCACCTGTGGCACCCATGCCATAGGTTCGCCATCATGGTGCTAGAAATTCCAGCACGTTTTCCAAGACTGCGCTATTTGGAACTTTGTCCTGCCAGGTGACGCCGAGAATTCGTCGGAGACAAGCGCATACGAAAGGTGTTCAAATTTCTCTCCTGCCGTGCGTAGAGGGTCCAAGACTCACTGCAGTTCAAGAGTGCGCTCAGGACGCAGGCTCTGTAGACCTGGATCTTCGTCTGTTCCGTCAGCTTCTTCTTAAGCCATACTCTCTTTGTAAGTCTGGAAAATGTGGTGGCTGCTTTGCCAATACGTTTATTCAGCTCAGTATCTAAAGAGAGAAAGAGCTAGGAATAGAATGGAATAGGATAGGATAGGATAGGATAGGATAGGATAGGATAGGATAGAATAGAATAGAATAGAATAGAATAGAATAGAATAGAATAGGAATTAGAATTAGAATAGAATTAGAATTAGAATTAGAATTAGAATTAGAATTAGAATAGAATTAAATAGAATAATAGAATAGACATTCCCAGTTCCTCCAACTATTCTTCATATGTTTTAGCCTTAATCAGAATAGAATAGAATAGAATAGAATAGAATAGAATAGAATAGAATAGAATTAGAATTAGAATTAGAATAGAATAGAATAGAATAGAATAGAATAGAATAGAATAGAATAATAGAATAGAATAGAATTAGAATTAGAATAATTAGAATTAAAATAGAACGGAACGGAACGGAACAGAACAGAACAGAACAGAACAGAACAGAACAGAATAGGAATTAGAATTAGAATTAGAATTAGAATTAGAATTAGAATTAGAATTAGAATAGAATTAAATAGAATAATAGAATAGACATTCCCAGTTCCTCCAACTATTCTTCATATGTTTTAGCCTTAATCAGAATAGAATAGAATAGAATAGAATAGAATAGAATAGAATAGAATAGAATAGAATAGAATAGAATAGAATAGAATAGAATTAGAATTAGAATAGAATAGAATAGAATAATAGAATAGAATAGAATTAGAATTAGAATAATTAGAATTAAAATAGAACAGAACAGAACAGAACAGAACAGAATAGAATAGAATAAGAATAAGAATTAGAATAGACTAGGAATTAGAATTAGAATTAGAATAGAATTAAATAGAATAATAGAATAGACTCTCCCAGTTCCTCCAACTATTCTTCAGATGTTTTAGCCTTAATCAGAATCGAATCGAAGTAGAATTAGAATTAGAATTAGAATAATTAGAATTAAAATAGAATAGAATAGAATAATAGGATAGGATAGAATAGAATATGGGGATAAGATAGAATAGAATAGAATACAATACAATAAGAATTAGAATAGACTAGGAATTAGAATTAGAATTAGAATAGAATTAAATAGAATAATAGAATAGACATTCCCAGTTCCTCCAACTATTTTTCATATGTTTTAGCCTTAATCAGAATAGAATCGAATAGAATTAGAATTAGAATTAGAATTAGAATTAGAATAAAATAGAATAGTTGGAAGGGAACTTGGAGGTCATCTAGTCCAACGCCCTTCTCAAGCAGGAGAACCTATCTGTTTGAGATAAGTGACTGATAAGTTCAGTTTGAAAAACGATTGTTGTTCACTTTTTTTTCCGGCGACGTTCTAACTTCGGACAGTCACTAAATGAACTTTCGTAAGTCGAGGACCACCTGTATTCTTTTCTACACGTAATCCTCGATTTACAACAGTTCATTGGAAAAAGTGACTTATGACCGTTTCTCACACTTACGACTGTTGCAGCATCCCCATGGCCAAACGATCAAATTCAGATGCTTGGCAACGGACTCACATTTATGACGGTCTCACGTGATTTCCCCTTTTGTGACCTTTTTGACAGGCGATGTCCATAGGGGAAGCCGGATTCACTTAACAACCGGAGTGGTATTAACTGAAGAACTGCAGTGCTTCACTTAACAACCGTGGCGAGAAAGGTCGTAAAATGGGGGCGAACTCGCTTAACGGATTCCTCACTTAGCAGCATAAATTTGGGGCTCAATTGTGGTCGTAAGTCGAGGACTACCTGTAGTCTTTTTCTCGCGGGGGCAACAAAAGAGGACGCGCTTGGATGCCGGACAAGAACAATGAGGCGATATGAGAAAACAGCAGGACAGGGAAGGGTCCCAGCAGGACGTTGGGCCTTGACCGGAACGCTGCTTCCACCTCCCAAAAATTCCACAAATTCCAAAATGCAATGGAAAAAGAACAAGAGTTGGAAGTCGGCCTGAACCAGGGTGGATAAAAATCAATGATTTTTTTTAAAAAATAAAAAAAATCAGATTTTTTTGATTTTTATCGAATTTATTTTAATAAAAAACTTATGGGGTAAAAATCTATCGTAAGATAGTTTTCTATTTAAGATACGTAAATAATTTAGTTTATTCAGCATGAAATGGAGCTTAGTTATGTAGCAGGAGGCTGTATATTCTATTGGTGAGTCAACAGTGGGTCAATGGAGTAGCAGAGATGACAGTTGCTCTTTAACAATTATGATTTAAATCGAGTTGATTTGAATCAAGCCTTTTTACTAGGGATTTAAATCGTGATTTAAATTGTGATTTAAATCCACTCGA